TCGTGATGTCCCTTTCAACCCTCAATTTCTATGAGTCTATGATTGTTACCATCTTTGGGGATCTTTGTGACAAGAGTTTGGTGCTTCTCAGTCCAGATCCTAGTACAAGTCCACATCACAACTCCTGCAATATGGCCCATGATGTTTATAAAGGGGATGTACAGATTTCATCTTTTCTGCCACCCAGTGGAACCCATCTCCCTCCCAGTTTATCCCAGCAGTGCAGGAAGAATCACTGTATCTGCCAGCTCCACAAATGTCATGCTCTTCCCAATTCAAAGACTTTTTCAAGTGGATAGATTTTTTTTTCCTGAGTCAATCTGTTTCTCACCCAGATCCTGGACTAGACGTGGCTTTTACAATGAAATGGGTAAAAGGCAGAGCTGAATACAAACGACCTGTGATTGAGATCTACCCTAGTCATTTGTAAGGAAGAACAGATGTAATTATAGAGTTTGTGAAAAGTCACATCTCCATCACCCATAACAAGCTAAGAACGAGTCCCAACCCACCCCATTTGAGAAGCAGCTTTTGAGGGATATGGCTAGAATCCATTTATTGGCTTGAAGTGGGTGACATCTGCTGGATATATTCAGTATGTCACCAGGAGCTTCTGGACCTCAGTGCCAAAGAGACAGCGTGGTCTAGCTAGCAGGACTCTATCCAGGCAGCCAGTAGCAATTATGCCTTGTACTGGGAATCATGTAGTGCAGTAATCTATCTCCAGGAAACCTACTGACTGACCCAAGAAAGCACAGCTCAAAGTGGCACAGGACAGATATGCCTGAACCATTTATAAAAGATCTCACATAGACCATTTCAAGATGGCAAGAAAGGAAGACTTCAAAGAAAGATGCAGCAACAATAACAGGCAGGAATAACAAGGTCCCCTCCTTCCCCTCAAATCAAGTGGTCACCAAGTCAGACATGGAAGGTGTTGGTGTTTGTATTTAGGGCCATGAGAAATGACCTGACGTCCAAGACTCTTAACAATAATGAAGTAGTTCCTCTTTTGACTTGAGTAGTGAGACAAAAATTCAGTGTCTCATAGACTGTTCTGGTTAGAAGAATAAACAGGAGATGGAGGCAGTCATCTTCCTAGGCGTTCAAAGAGAAAGGAAAGAAAAGGAGCTTTCCCCTTCAGTAGCTGCTGCAGGAGTGTGGAAGTTGCATGTGGGACACTGCCAGGGAAGCATGGCAAGCTGCTGTTTTACACAACTTCTGTGAGACCAAGAGCAACAGTCTCACTAATGAGCGGGAGGCAGAAAGGGGCCGGTTTGGGGGATGTTATGAACAGCCAGAGAGAAAGGCAGCCTCTACTAAATGTTGCATCTGCTTATGCTGCTGCAGATTCTTTTGAGGCTGGGGCAAAAAACCTGAAAATAAACTTTCCATAAGGGTTTTGTGATGCCTGGTGTGAGGATGTAAGTGCTTTGGACAGAAGAAGCAAGACAGTCAGCTTTGATTCTTTTGAGACTAGTGAGAGCTGGCTCTTATTTCTTGGTGCACACGGACATCTAGCGACCTGTTTAGGGATAGCATGTTGTTGAACAACGGGATGCCTCCACCCGTCTTTCAGTAGGTCAGATGGGTGGCAAATTGGCTTAGGGGTCGCACCCAGAGAGTGGTGGTGGATGGGCCAATATCAACTTGGAAAGATGTGGGCTGTGGAGTCCTGCATGGCTTGGTCTTTGGACTGGTGCTATTCAATGTCCTCAGCAGTGACTTGGACAAGGGCGTAGAGAGCACTCTGTCCAAGTTCGCAGATGATACCAAATTATGGGGCAAAGTTAACACAGCAGAGGGTGGGCAATGGATCCAGTTGGATCTTGACAGATTGGAAAAATGGGCAGAACGAAATAGGATGCAGTTCAACAAAGACAAGTGCAAAGTGCTGCACCTGGGCAAAAAGAACCATCAGCACACTTACAGGCTGGGGGACAACCTCAGCAGCAGCAGAAAGGGATCTTGGAGTCATTGTTGACTCCAAGATGAACACGAGTTGTCAATGTGACAAAGTAATCAACAAAGCTAACTGCACTTTATCATGCATTAGTAGATGCATGATGAACAGGTCCAGGGAGGTGATGCTTCCCCTCTATGCAGCACTGGTCAGGCCGCAGTTGCTGTACTGCGTCCAGTTTTGGGCGCCGCACTTTAAGAGGGATGCAGAGAATCGTGAGAGGGGTCAGAGGAGGCCACTTGTATGGTCAGAGGCCTGCAGGCAAGGCCCTACGAGGAGAGACTGAGGGACCTGGATCTCTTCAGCCTTTGCAAGAGAAGGTTGAGAGGTGATCTTGTGGCTGCCTACAAATTCATCAGGGGAGGGAAGTATCCCTGCTAAGAGATGCTCTATTTACTAGGGCACCCCCTGGAATAACTAGGAACAATGGCCACAAAGTGTCGGAGAGCAGATTTAGGTTGGATATTAGAAAGAACTTCTTCACAGTAAGGGTTGCCAGAATCTGGAATGGGCTTCCCAGGGAGGTAGTGCTCTCCCCTACCCTGGGGGTCTTCAAGAGGAGACTGGACAAGCATCTAGCTGGGGTCATTTGACCCCAGCGTTCTTTCCTGCCCAGGGCAGGGGGTTGGACTCAATGATCTACCAAGGTCCCTTTCTACCCTAACACCTATGAATCTATGAAACATCTACAAACTGAGGGTGCCCAAAATTGGGCCTTCTTTAGAAAACACTGGCTGACACATCTGTTTTCTCTTTTTTTTTTTTTTAACAGGTGGCATAAGCTGGGAATCTCAGGGTTTGATCCAAAGCTGGTTGACGTCAATGAAAAAACTCCCTTGACTTCACTGGGCTTTGGATGAGGGCCCAAGTTCTTTGACATAGAGTAAAATTGGCTGGATGTAAAAGGTCCTTTTCTCCTCTGGGTACCAATGCAAGCGTACCTGGAAGAGCCTGATTCTGTGTCCACTGAAGTCACTGGGAGATTTGACATTTGTTTCAATGGGAACAGCCTTCAGAGTCCAACTCACTGCATCACTCCTGGATGGTATGACTGCACTTTGCTATATAATTTCCTCCATTACCAAAGTCCTCCACTTCTTCCAACATCACGCTTTGGGAATTTACTCCTTAAATCTGTCCACTTCCTTCCTCCTTTTTATTCACACCTGAGAACTCATTCAATCCTATGAGGCTTAGGAACCAGGTATTTCCCATAAAGTAATGGACAACCAGAACAGACAAAATGATAACACCAAGGTATTTTACTGTATGCCTGGCACAACAGGGCCCTGGCCTTTGGCAAGGCCTTCAAGGTGCTGCTAAAATGCAAATTAATCCTAAAAAGAAGACGACGCAATCCCAGTGTTATCACTTAACTAGATCCACTATGTTCCTATTCTTTTTGTCTGTCTGCCTCTCCATTTAGATGTTCTTGGCACAGAGAAAATGTCCCAGCTGCCGTTTACATGCCTGCCATATTTTGCCATATATTTATTTCCCGATTTTATGCTTCATTTGAGAAAGAGGAAGAAATGGTTAGAATAGATATGAACTGGGAGAATACGGTCTAGTGAATAGACTCCTGGGATCTATTTCCTTCTCCGGGAGGCAGGTGGAGAGTTTGTGGTCAGGACTCCTGGGTTTTGTTTCCAGCTCTGCCACTAACTTCCTGTATAACCTTAGGCACATCACTTCACTTCTCTGTGCCTTGGGCATAACTGTAGAATTCAGGTGACATTTGCTCACCTCCTAGGGATGTGAATGGTACAGATTAAGTCCTAGATGGGTGAGAACTTGCAGCACCACTATACCTTGGGGTACATTATGAAGTCAATGAGTACCAGACTAAATACCTGGCACCAGCAAGCAGGCACATCGTGTCCTCAGGAGTTTGATCTGCTAGCATGGTGCATGGACATGGAGTGGGCCAGACTTAATGTATGTCTTTCTCCCTCCTGGGCCACGTTCCAAGGGCTAACACAGAGTCACCTCTGGCTGTGACCGTATTGGTGACATTTCTTAGTGGCCCATTCCACTCCTATTACGGCAAAGGACAGGTATAAAAGATCCAGAGCAGGGAGAGAATCTGATGATGACCCAGACTGTGTGGAGAAACCATCTTTCAGCACAGATGTTTAGCTGAGATCCTGATCATCTGAGGTCTTTAAAAGAATCCCTGGTCCATTACTAGGTATATTACCTGCTGTATCCATGTCAAATTCTACTGGTTTATTTTCTGCATCTGTAAAACTGCCCTTGGCATGTTACCTCAGTATTGTCCCTGGCAATTATGTAACACTGCTGTCTGCTATTAAGCAGTTGTTGTGTTTCACTCCAGAGGTGGGTGCATTTTAAGAACAGCTGAACCAAATTTTGTTTCCATAGGGACAAAATTGGGCTGGGTCAGAGTGGCTTAGCGAGCTAGAACTTGTCCATTGCGGTGGCTATTCTGTATCCAGAATCTAAGCCTTCATTGCACTTTTAAAGTTACAATTCTGGCTCTTAGTGTTGCACAAACAACCTATAAAATGTGAACCAAGCCTAAAACAAACCTGGGGATTCTACCTAAATCTGAAAGCCTGAAAATGATACCTCAGGAAATGTTAACTCTCAAGCCTAATTATAATCCTGCCTTGAGCAGGGGGCTGGACTCAATGACCTCCCTTCCAGCCCTACTTGCCTATGGGCGTTTGTACACGTCACTTTTTTTGTCCTTTTTTACGCTGCAACAGCTTGACTGTTTGCACGAGTGGGATTTCTGGATGATTTCTGGTGATACTATGTCTGTTGAATATTTCAACACTGACTTGGAGAATTGTACTATGGAAATTCATGCAATGTCTTGCAAGTGGCATCCCATTCTGGTGTCATGACCGGGTAGAGTTTGGGGAGAGTAACCACTTTTTATTCCATCCCACAGTATATTTAGACCCTGACGTGCTTCAGAATGAAAGAAACAATGTAGTAGATGTAGACAATATAATTTTCTTCACCTGTCACACATCAACCAGGAAAATGAGAGACGGACAGCAGGAAATGAGGACTTCAAAAATAGACACCTTTAATATTAAACACTTGTGGATTAACAATGCCAACATACAAGAAACAGAGAAACTGTCATATAAAGGACACTATACAGTGTGCATGTGTGTATGTGGAGGGGGTGATATGCTGATGGATTATCAAAACTCTTTCATACTATACCTTTTACTGTGGTTCAAACAAACTTAACGTGGCTTGAAACATGAATCATGTAAAATGAAACTTGTTTTTGCTCTTTGATAAAACCCCAGACGCACTTTCACTCTCTTTCACTGAACAGGATAACCAAATCTTCCTACACATCTTGAATGACTGCTGGCTTAGGTATCTTCTACAAATCCTGTCTTTGTAGGATAATCTCAATAGCTCAGTAAGACAAAAAATTGCAATTTTTTCAATAGACAAGCCCTCTTTATAAAAAATATATGGAAAATATGTGTTAACAAACAGAACTCTAGCCACATCTCTTTAAACCTCTTAAATATATTAAACATTTAACTTCAGCTTCACAGCAATATTTATGTACATTCCTTAACATTTTACCTTCTCACTGAAAGAATCCGCTCATTCTTGGCCATCACAGCTTCTACGGTTCGGGACATCACTAATCTGACTCCTCAAGTCATTCTAGTGTTCATGGTTGAGCTTTCATGGGGTGGACAGGGACAAGACAATGAGCAGTTTGCGCCCCAACATTAGGTGACTTTTCTCTACACTGTCTAACTGAAACTCAATGCTGGTCCAAAGTCTGGGACTTGCAATATTCAGTCCAAGACTGCTGTCTAAGTCGGAAAAATATAGCAACATAAGAAAACGCTAGATCTTAGTATGCTATCCCACTGCTCCACAAAATGAAAATATAGTAGATAACATCTGCTTCTAGCTCCAGTGGTTCAAGAAACCCCATACATTGATCAAGTAATTCTGGTTACCCTCTTGCTGCTTTTCCTACAAAAAGCAACAAGGCAAGTAAAGGACTGATATCTTGCAATGCCTCGCAATTAGCCTGACAGTGACACTGCAGGTATTTTTTTTTCCCTTCACATGACAGTGATTTCCTCACTTGCATCAAAAAATAAAATATACCGGAACTCCTGGCAGGGAATTGTTCAGGGGAGGAGTAGGACTCAACTAATTCAGACCTCAACACGAGGAGATACAAACTGGTACCCCCACGACCCTTCTCTCTGATGCCATTTCTACAGACCTGAATCGTTGACCAATCCAGCACCCACTTAAACTGAATACATCCCTTCAGGGATGGCAGATTCTGGGGCACCATTCCCTTCTGGTTGATGTCTGTCCCACCACCGGTTTGTTATAGAGCACCTATAGATTCGTGGATCAGCAATGCTCTAGCAATTGCATTGAGATGGAAGAATAGGCCCCTTGTGTTATATGTAGGCTGGGTGAATGCTGGACAGGGAGTTAAAAGTGCAACTGAATAGCCAAGAGGCTAGATGTGATGCTGAGGAAGGGTAAGGAGAGGTGATGGCAGCCTGCCCCAGTCTGGAAGATGTGCAGTTTCTCAGCATCTGGATGGAACACCCTGGCATCCTCCAAAGCACCATGTGCAGCCAAGGTGAAGTTGATGTCCCCCGAGGTCACCACGTCAAAGACGCACGACTGGAAATAAACGTCCTCCACCGGCAACTTTTCCTTGCACAGCACTCGTGCCATCTCCACAGCAATACTGCCATGCCGACATTTGCTGCGGGAGAGGCGCTGGCTGGGCGGGCAGCCGCCGACGCAGAGCTGCAGGTCCTGCTCCTCTGTGAAGGAGCGTGCCACCTGCTCCGCTGTGCGGATGGAGAATGAGAGCTGCCGGCCTGCCTGGCGCACGGCGATGGTGGTGCCAATATAGACGGCACGGATCTCTACGTGCTGGCCAGGCAGTCGCTCCTGGATGGTCAGGCTGCTCCCTCCAGGCCTCTCACCACCATTCACCGAGCCATCCTCGAAGGCTGCAGGCAGGTTGTCTATCTCAGCCTGGTAAACCTTCTGGTCAATGCACTCCTTCATGTTCTTAAAGATGATGGTGAGCTGCAAGACGGACAGAAAGCAGCCAGTTCAAATCATGGGTAACCTGACCTACTGCGTTTATGTTTAGGGTTGGAATGGACTTCCAGAGGTCAACCAGTCCAACCCCCTGTCTGAGAGCCTGAAATGATAGCTGTGGGGATCTTGGGAGACCTGAACCATTTGAGAGCCCCACATTGATATCAGGGAGGGGGGCTCCTAGCAAAATAGGAAGGTCACAATACAGAAAGGAATCACTGAGAACCAGTGATCCAGTTTTCCAGGCACGGGGGTGAAATTCAGGGTGTTTTTGGACCTGCCACATGGCTCTGGGTAACTCACTTGCCCTCTCTGCCCCCCTCCCACCCACTGTCAATCTTATCATTTCTTTTCAGTTTGGCCGTCCCAGACTAGTCAAGTAAACGGCACCTAGAACAATGAGACCCTGAACTCAGTTGCAGTCTCCAGGGCTTCCAGCAAAATCATCCCAGACAGAAAGCTGTGCTCTGTCCTGCTTTGAATTCACAGCAGTAGGTGTCTAGGGAAAGGGAGCTCCCACCTACCCAGTTTGGACACCTGCTATCTTGGCATTGTGTGGATGTTCATCACACTGGTTTGTGAGCCGCCAACCCCCTTGGAACACTAAACCAAATGTGGCCACCAAAATCATGAAGCCAACCACAGGTCACGAGGTTACCTTGCTAGTAACAGTGGCATTGGACCCCTTGGCCACTGGATAGCTCGTTGCCTGCACAAACAGGTAGTTATTGTCCAGGAGAGGCCAGGAGCCCTCTACCCGGCAGGTGTGGAAGTCATCATGGAAAGTCCTGATGTGAGGGTCCCCGAATGCTGCACAGTGCTGATAAGCTGGGGGCCGGCCATTCTTGTGGAAGAAATTCTTCTCGTAGTTGCAGATATCCAGAGACTCGAAACCCTGGTGGTTGGGGGCTGGCAGGCGAGGCCGAGGTGGCGAGGTGGGTCCTTCCTTGGAGCAGTTGTTTTGGATCATGAGGTCCTCGATGCCATGGACAGCGGAGTGGTAGGCCAGGTCACCCCGGCAGGTGCGAGCCGTCTTGCGAGTGCAGTGGGAGTAGGAGCGTAGGGCGTTGCAGTAGGCTGCGTTCTTGTTGGAGCCACGTAGGTTGAGAGTGGCAGCCACGTACTCCGAGTTGCATCGCAGGATCTTGCACTGGGATGACACTGTGTGGCCAGAGACACCGAGGGAGAAATCAGGGTTACCGCATCCACCCCATACCCTGTTCCGGCCGTCAGCTCCAAGTTTGAGCACAGCTGCCTTGCTATCAGTTGGGTTTTCTCCAGCAATCATAGCCCATAGCAGCACCAAATCCTCTCCCTGAGTGACTAGAAACCTCTCTGCAGTGTCTGTGCCTGACATACTGGAACTAGCTCTAAAAACTGCTAGCTAGGGCAGTGCTAACAACCCAGCCATGGTAGCACAAGGTTCAGTATAGCTGCAAAACCTGCCTGAGAAGCTGGCTATGCACCCAGGCCACTAACTCACCCTGAGATACACCCTGCTAGTAGTACTGCAGCAAGCTGGTTTAAAACTAGCTCAAGGATGTCTACATAAGTTGTAGACATATCATGTATATATATGCACATCAGAGCTGTGCTGCCAGACTGTTGCTCTGTCACCAATGCAATGAGGCCAGGGCCAGATGCCACCTCTCCTAAACCCTCCCACCTCAGCTGCACAGGTAGACACCCATCCCTCAAGCTAACCATACCCATGCGCTTGTTTTGTTGCTAGAAAAGCTATTGCCACCCCTGCCACTGGCACGCAACGGCCTTGCTAGGTTGGCCTGCTCTGTTTCATACCATATCGGCAGAAGAGGAGGAGGAAAAGTGCCCTAAGGATGAAGCAGGTGCTTCCCAGGTACCATGGGCTCATGCTACGGGCCGATTTCCCCATTCCAATCCATCCAGAACAAGTGACGGGGCAGTCACCTGCTGTTTCTTCTTGCCCCTCTCACCAGCTCACCTGGAAGTGAAGCAGAGATGGGAATCAGGGGTCAATAAGCTACTGGAGGCTAGGGCTTTGTGGGCGAGTCATCTTTCCTATTAGACAAATAAACTTATGTGCGAACTATTAATACCCTGTCTGTTGTGAGCAAACATTAGCAGTCCTACATCGTGTACAAGTCCACAGTCAGGTGTCCCTCATGGTCTAAACTGCCTCCCCTCACTACAGCAGTCTGTATACTCAGCTTTTGAATTCCCATCTCAGACGTGTCTGTGTTCATAAAGCCCAAAATACCGTGGGAGTCTTCACCGGAAACTCTGCTATCAAAATGCAAGACACAGTCATTCCTCGGACTCAGTTTCGAAATGAAATAGAAATGTGGCAAAATGAGCCAAACTGGGAATCAAAGAGAATTGCTGGTAGAGTGTTACAGGGCAAGACGGAGAGAAAGACTTTTAAAGTGTCCGGAAATCCTGCTTGTGCAAACAGTCACGCAGTTGCAGCACAAGAAAGGGCAAAAAACGTGGTGTGTACAAAGGCCCACCTCACGCTGCCTCACCCATATACGTGAATTCACCTGGAGGGACCACGGCTGAGAAAGAAATTCAGTCTCTGTAGCCCCTTCAGCCCTCGGCCTATATGAACGTTAAGAAACACCAACTAAAGCAGACAATGGCTATTTCAGTGCAGACTGGAAAGCAGACTGAGACCTGCCAAACTCATTCCACATAAGCCGCTAAAACAAGACACCAGAGGGTAACAGCTTTGGCTCAGCAGTCATTTGGGCTAAGCTCAAATACTCAGCTAATGGGAAAGAGGCTCTGCCACCGCAGCCATTCAAGCTGTCATGTATACCCGCTGCTTTCAACCAGAGAGCCAGCCTGGCTGTACCCCTTCCCAAAGCAACCAGCTGTTTGCAGCCATCCCTTATGCTACAGACGCCTCTGCCATGTTTCCTGGTGCACGGAGGAATGTGTTGCTAAGTGCCTTCAGCTGTGATCCCAGCTGGGGAAAAGAGAAAACTGAAAAAGCAGGGATGAAACACAGAAACATAAATTCGAAGGGATCCTCATCAAAGCAAAATGCAGCCCGAAGACCCTCATCCCCCAATGTGGGCACCCAACCTATAACTTCTCTGCAAGCAACCGTGCAGAAAGGCCTAGATTTGATTTCAAGTGATGGGTTTCTAATGGGTAAATTGTTTGGATGGCTAATTACCCAGTAATCAATAGGCAGGCATCTGTTATATAAATGTCATGTAGCTGACCTCTGTGCTGGAATGACTCACAGCAATAAGCAGGCTAGAAGCTACAGCACTTCTCCCTGCTCCCTCGGTGCAGAAATGCGTGATAGGTCAGACAAAGCCAGTGGAAAAACACATTCCCAAATACTGGTGAAAATTAAGGGGTGAATTTCTTTAGAGAATCACTGGGGGTATCATCAGCTCTCTCTTTGCAGACCAGTACCAGCCTTCCCGAAAAAATGAAAAGCCAGTTGCTATGTGCTAACCTGCAGTTGGGTCATGATGGATGCTAATATAAGGACCCAGCAGCAGCAGATCTAACAGACAGTCCTCTTTGCTGAGTCTAATTTCACTTAAACCCCGCTACCCCCACAATAGCCTTCTACCCATTCACTGGGCTGGGTTCTGGAGCTCCATAAGGCTTGAAGGCCTGGATGGATGTGAGCAGGAGCAGCCTAGCAGCCCTCAGTCCCTCAAGGAAGGGAGCTGTGGGGGACAGGAGGCAGCTGTAAGAAGTCTGTCCTCACTTGTTCTTGGGCTTCAGATTCTTATAGGTTATGCGTATAGGCTCTTCTTCAAGCGGCCCACTGGAAAAGACCCCTGTGACAGGTTATTTGGCAAACAGCTGGGTACAGAATCAACCCTCCCCTCTGCCTTACTCCCAGATGTCAGGAACAGGCTGCTGGGAGAATCCCCATGCACCTTAATAGCATACACCTATGCTAGCTTGAGGAGCTCAGCTGGGCACATGAAACCAGGGCTAATCCAATCCAGCTATAGACATGTTGTCCCTGTCCTCTGAAATGTGCCTGGGACCTCAGCAAGGGCTCCAGATACCCACTCAGGAGGCTTGACAGCAGTCACACCTCTGAGTGCAGCACAGCCTGGCACTCAAGCTTCACCACCCGACCCACACACGCAATCTGCAGCCTTGATTTATGAATTGCTGGCGCTGCCGTGGCAGGATGCCTTCCAACCCAGCAGAGAGATAGAAACCCCTCTCCGTGAAGCAGCACTGCTCTCACATCTGTGCCCCAGCACTGGGGCTCCGTAGGAGTCGCCTGTCTTGGTTGGGTGAATTTTTTGGCCTTTCAGAAATTCCTGCCCATGTTCCATTAGCAACCCTGAGAAAGTTTCCTCCCTTCCTACCTCTGTCGTTCAGAGTGGGCACTTGCTCCTCCAGTGAACCAACAGCTATCATTTGCGAGCTTGTGTCACAGTGGCTCTTGAACTCTTGGGCTGTTTGACTAAGCTGATAAACAAAACAGGGGCATCTGCCAGCTACCTTTGGGCTCCCAGTGGAAGCTAATGATCAACCCATCGCTCCCTACCAAAAAGTAGCCAATGAACAAATGATCTGGCCATGAAATGGGCCCCAATTCTCACAGTCACCCCCATCTCCCTGCCAGAAGCTCCCACTAAAGAGGGGCCATTGCTGTGAAGTGCAGCAGGGATGACCAGTCTGAATCCCTGTACAACTCTGAGAAAAAATTTCACTGTTATCCTGTATTGAGCCCAATAAATTGTGTTTCACTAAGACACTTTCAGAAGAGCATCAAGGTGGGCATGCATGCTTCAAGAGGGGGCAATTGAACCTCTCCTGGGCCTCAGTTCCCCGATCCATGACATGGGGTTAAATATATTCCTTTACCATCAGAAAGTCTAGGAAATTTAACTCTTTGGTGCTCATCTTCCAAATTAAATCAGAGATCTGCAAGCTTGCACGAGCAAGCTCACTTCATCAGATGCTATGAGATACTCAGTGAAGTCTCCTTGTGCCGAGAGCTACAGAAAAGCCACACAGAGAGAACCCTTTTGCAGGCTGATCATGATCACAAAGTCCAAGCTGCCCAAAGCTGTGTGACTTCAGCAAGGCCACGCCTCCACACTTTGCAGCATGCAAGCTCATGAAGAAGTCGGGTACAGTCCTGTCCCCACTGCCAGGCTTGCACAGAAAACAGCTGGTTAATTTATAACAATAAAGCTCCAGGCAGGTCCAGATGTAAATGCACCGGAAGGCCTGGGGAAGGAGCTAACTAGGCTAACGGCATCCTGGGCTGCATTGGTAGGAGCACTGCCAGCAGATCGAGGGCAGTGATTCTTCCCCTCTATTCGGCACTGGTGAGACCACATCTGGAGTCCTGTGTCGTTTTGGGCCCCCCACTTCAGAAAGGATGTGGACACATTGGAGACACTCCAGCGCAGGGCAATGAAAATGGTTTGGGGATGGGGCAGATGACTTGTGAGGAGAAGCTGAGGGAACTGGGCTGAGTTAGTCAGCAGAAGAGAAGACTGAGGGGGGATTTAATAGCAGCCTTCAGCTCCCTGCAGGGTGGCTCCAAAGAGGATGGAGCTGGACTGTTCTCAGTGGTGGCAGATGACAGAACAAGGAGCAATGGGCTCCAGTTGCAGCAAAAGAAGTTGAGGTTGGATCTTAGGAAAAACTTTCTTACTAGTAGAGCAGTAAAGCACTGGAACAGGTTCCCCAGAGAGGTGGTGGAGTCTCCATCCTTGGCTGGGATGACAAAGCTTTGGCTGGGACGGTCCTGCTTTGAGCAGGGGGCTGGACTAGATGTGACCTCCTAAGGTCCCTTCCAGCCCTCCTCTATGATTCTGAGGAGGAGGAAGGGGAAATGGTGAACAGGACCTGCCACCTGTGTCCCTCAACTAGGATGCACTCTGTCTGAGGTGGGTGAGGGGATAAGGGACACCATGCCTGGGCCACTCTCTGCCCATGAGAAACCACAGCAAGGAGCAGGACTCTCAGCCCCCTCCTCCCTGCCCATCACACAAGGCTTCCATGGCTTCACAGCACCTGCAGGATGGTGAACAGATGCCTGGATTTCACAGAGAGCGGCTAGAGGAGTGTGGAGACAGGCAAGTCCACAGCAGTCAGATCTCCCCTGCAGTCTGCTCTTCCAGGTCTCTTCTATCTCCACCGGCCAGAGCTGATCAGTAGTTTCCAGCACAGTTCATTGTTTCGACTCTTCCTGTTGCAAACACAACCATCCTGTAATCACCCTGGTGCCCATCTCATGCCACAGCTGGACAGCCCTGACTGGTGTGGAGGCCAGGGAAGCGGACACATACAGACCCCACGCTCCTTCCCTGCACAAAACACCCGTGGTCAGCAGCTCGACTGCTTTGGACATCCAGCTGATTCCTCTCCGTGCTGATGAGAGCCCAGGCACAAGCCACCTGCCCTCACTTCCTTCCCCTACCATGAGCGCACCACACCTTGTCCCTCCCCTGGAGACTCCTCTCCCCAGCCAACCATGGGTTTAACAAGCAGAGAAAGAGGGCTGAATACCACCTTCCAAGCAGCCACAGACAGACACTCCTCCAGGTGGATACACAAGATCGGCCTGTCATGCTTATCAGCCAAACTTCAGCAACAAAAATCCAGCCAGGCCCCTCATTATCCTCCAAACGAAGCGTCCCATCCACCTGCAGCCCCCAGGCCCAGTCCCCTCGGTGGGCTCACCCAAAGGCCCAGTCCAGGAGGCAGACTAAGACGACATGTTTAACACCAAGAGGAGCCATGTTGCTTCCATGGCCCTTGCAGGGCACCCACAAGGAGACTCAAGCCTCCATCTCACCTTGCGGCCACCTTCTCCGGCGACCTTCCCCCTCCGGCTTGCAGGGTGGCTGGGAGCCGCGACGCGGGGAGCAGGGGACAGGCGCTGAAATAGATCTGACTAAATTTAGACCGAGGAAAACCCAGCCAAGAAAAACAAGCACATGGTGCGGAAAGAGGAGCCCCAGAAATAGTAGCTAGCTCCGGGCAGCAGACAGGAGAGCTTGCTCCGAACTACGGCTGTGCAGAGCTACCAGGCACTGCAGAGACTTGCCAGGGGGTGCTGCTGGTCAGGCAGGTCCAGGTCAAGGTCCACCAAGTGGCCACGGCTGCTTCTGGTGGCAAACTTCCACGTTCCACGTTGCCCCCTCCCCAACAAACTGCTGCTTCCCCCACTTACCACAAAACAATTAACCAAGGAACAGAGACACACTCCTCACCCTGCTCCAGGCTGGTTCACAAGGCAGCAGTGCTACATAGCCAAAGTCAGGTTCATTATCCTCATTTTATAGATGGAGAAACTGAGGCACAGAGAAGGTCAAGTCACCCAGCAGAGTAGAGACAGAACTAGGGCTAGAACCCAGGTCTCTTGAGTCCCTGTGGTCAAGCCTCTAAGCAACTACTTTCCTGGGGATTTACATGGCAGTGCATAGTGGGGAAGGACCCTATAACTTGGTCATCGAGGTCTAGTGGATACAGCACTGGATGGGGACCAGGGGATTTGCCACTGCCTTGCTGTGTGACCGTGGGCAAGTCCCTTTCCCCCTGACCCATCCCCTCTGGTCCATCAGGCCTGCAAGTGCTAAAGGGAAAAGGGCTTCTCCTTTGATGGGTGCAGTTGTGCAGCACCTGCCATGATGGAGTCCTGCTTTTAGCTGGGACATTTTCATGCCTCTGTCACAAAGACAGCAAGCTGCATGATGGTGGATGGCACTTTGCTGGGGCTGGCGGGGGTATTTTAGGGGTCTAAGCTAGCGATTCTCAACAAGGTGCCTTGGGATCGATCCTTTCAAGGGTGCTATGGGACACCACATTACATTAGCGCAGTTGGGTGTGCAAACCTGATTCACAAGACAAACCCAGAGATTGCAACCAGGGATTCATGGTGTTCAAGCACCCTAAGCGGTTATGGTCTTCCTGAGTTCTTCGCAACAGAACAGTTGATTAAATATTTTTCTGTAGTCAAAAAAGAAGTGAAAACTAAGAACTGGCATTTTCTGTGGCGGGGTTTTGGGTCTAACAAGAGTGGCCTTGAGTCTAAAACATTAAAAACCACTGGTCTAATCCAAAGGCAGTTTAGCATAGAGGCTTTGGATGTTGCCAAGAGCCTGCTGGGCTCCAAAGTGAACACTTGCAATTAATGACTCATCTTGTTAATAAAGGTCCGTCTCCCTTAAGGGAGGAGAGCCAGAGCTTGCATTAAGCACAGAAGAGTGTTTGCCATTGCCAATCTATCTCCCATGAAAGATACTTAGACACCGAAATGACAAGCAGCAGTACGAACCCCTCAGACTGTGATCAACCCCGACTCCGAGCAGAGAGAAGAGGTGGAGAGGTTGTTCCCAATGCAGCTTTCTCCCAAGCACAGGGCAACAAGATGCAACCAAGCCCTAGAGAAATGGTTATGTTTCGTGCCTGACATTGTACCAGGGCTCGAACTCTGGACTTTACCCACTGCTTTGAAACCATTTTTGCTCTCCAAGTGGGTGGCAAGGTTTTAATAGTACATCCCCAAATCAAATCTTTAGCCCATCAGATCCACTCTTCTGGATTGTAGCTGGTACTCAATGTTTGAGAAGCATTGAGAAGCAAGGCTAGAAGGGACCTCCAGCAGTTCCCTCGGCCAAGAAGAAGATGCAACCCTCCCCCTGGATAGTTTTTACCTCTACGGTCACGTTCTGACTCTAAGAAGGGCGGCTTTTCACAGATAAAACAATGCAACCCCAAATACCCCAAAACCTCCTCTTGTAGCATTCAAAGTGGTTCAACAGTGTCGGCAACTCTTGCTAACTGATCGCACACCAGCCCAGAGGTGGGTTATCAAGTCCAGCTCCTGCCCTCAAGAAGGTGATGGCAGGAAAATCTCAGCTTCCATAAACCAGGTTTCCAAAGCTGTCTGGAAAACACAGCTGAAAACGAGACCCCTCAAAAAATCCCAAACCAGAATGCAAAGAAGCCTCTTGGAAAAGGTTTGATTAAAAAAAAAATCCATAAATTCTAAGCAGATCTCATGATTTTTCACAAGTAACAACATAAAAGACTAAAACACCAGCTCCTATCTGTTCCCCTGCCTTTGCAGACAATGCAAATCTCCAGTCCTGCCTGAAAACCAGCCTGTTTGGAGAGCAGACAGATTGCAGGCCCCCTCGTTAAACCCAAGCAAGACGGATTAATTAACAAGTCCACCTGTGAAAGAGATAAGCAGCTCTGCCAAAAGCATGCAGTGGGGTTTGCTTTGCAAAGAGCATGCCTCAAATTGCTGGAGTCTGGCTTGGCCTCAGAGAAGCAGCAAACTGCTGCTGGCAGAATGTCTTTTCCTATCAGCTTTGGAGAGAAGAGTTACTTTCCCACTGCTAAATGCAGAGAAAGGTCTGCATCCCTGGCACTAAGCCCCTTCCTTCCATCCATCCATCCATCCTCCCTGCCTTTCTTTCCTTCCATAAATCCATCCACCCAGCCCCTCATGCCTTACCTGAGCCTTCCAAGGGATAGAGAAGCAGGTGGAGGGAGAGACCACATAGCTTTAATTCCTCCACCCAGGAGCAACTGTTACTCAGTCCCTGGATACCATAATTCACCCAAAAGGGGCTCAGATACCATAAACTCAATAAAATTGCAGCTCCTGCTTTTTTGGGTGGAACCAAGACCTGACCCCTCCTTGTGAACTGCAAGAGCCTTCTTTGCAGCTCCCATCAGGCTCCCCACTCCTCCTCCCCGCTCTATCTGCCCCTCTCCTGAGTCCCGAGGGCATCGTGTCATGGCCTTGGGGTTGGTTTTTCCCATGAGACTCCACCCCGGCCAGGGCTTGGGCTTGGACTGCAGGGGATGAGCACCATCTGTTGGAAACCAGCTGTGCCAGGGCATGGATGCCCCACGTGGGAATGTGTTACAGGGAGGGCAGAAGTGGGGGCAGCTGGACATTCTTCCCAGAAGAGCAGAAGGTCCCATCCAGGCCCCACAAAGGGGTTTGGATAGGGACCTATTCAGACCTTTCAAACAGACCCCCTTATGGGAGCCCCTGACTTTAACCTCTTAACCACTGCTCTTCTGCAGCAGGTCCCCCCCAGCCATCACATGGGTCACGCAGAGCCATCACGCAGGTCATGGAGCGAATTTGCCAGCTCCCATAATCAGGAATGTGCTGCCAGGCCCACAAGGCCGTCTGGAGCCTTAACAAGGGGACTCGCAGCAGATGTAACCGGGCGGCAGGTGGGATGCATGCGTTCAGCTCACAGAGGCTGGGAATTTTGCAGGCTGGAGTTGGCAGGACACGGCAGAGCTGCAGTTTGGAAGGAGGAGGAGGAAGCAGAGAAGACAGCTGTGCTGGCACAACCTCCAGCCCCTCCGGATCCATTTGGAGCCTGGGTTCAAAGGACCTGGGATCAACTCTGCTTCCTGGCCCTGCCTAGAAATGCCGCGGCTCCGGCACTGCTGTGTCGCCCCTGCCACGGGCCAGTAGGGCAGAGGGAGACCTTAAAAAAGAGGTGATGGGGAAGAGGGAGAAAAAGATCCAGATGGTCCTGGAGGTTTGGTTGGATCCCAAACAGATATACCCCCTTCCCTTCTCCATGCCAGTCTAGTACCAAACCCCAAGTGGAGGAGTTCTGCTCTAATTAAAACCCGGCTGATTAATCCTCTCCTGCCAGAGCCATGACATGGATGGGGTAACAGTGACTCTCCAAAAGCAGATGAGATGCCAGGGTTCTGGTTAAGTGATGATTCATCCTATGAGGACACCTCTGAGGCACTGGCACATGAGTCTCAGCCCCAGGTTGTGCCTGGGGGATGATGCAGTGCGTTCAGCCAGGCCTGGACCACACAGAGCATGGTCCAGGTTTTACCAAGGGTGCAGCTTTATAGCTGCTTAGTTGATTCGGTGCAACACTATGCACGGACAGGTAGGGCTTCAAGGTCCATCTCATCTGACCCCCCACCCAAGACAGGATCATCAGCTGGGGTCATCTAAACCCAGCACTCTTCCCTGCCCATGCAGGGGGTCGGACTCGATGATCTATTGAGGTCCCTTCCGACCCTAGCATCTATGCATCTATGAATCCCTGTCCGCACCCTCCCAGGCAGTTTGTCCAACCTCCCCGGCAATTCCACCAGCCCTAATTCAACTAAAGTGATTTGATTTAAATCTCTGTGCAGACAGCCTCGGCCTGCCTTGCTGGTTCCCCTAGGAAACCCTCCACCATCCTGCAAGAAGATGCTCAAGAGAGGACGAGGACCAGAGCAGTGGACATGGGGATGGAAGTCCATGGGCTGAGCCATGCAGGGTGCTAGGACTGGGATAGTCAGGATTGATGGGGAAGCCAGGATTGATGCAGTACAAGGACAGAGGCAAAGCCCCCAGAGCCGGGTGGAACAGCATCAAGGGGAACTGCAGCGGCAGCTCCAGACTGTGATGCACTAGCAAAGGCTGGAGGAGTGCTGGCATAGCAAACCTCAACTGCTCGCCCTCTGAAGAGAAAACCCAAAGGAGCCAGAGCTCATGCTTACCTTGGTGAACCTCAGCCCTGCCATTTGTGCTGCTCTGGTCCTGACTTCCCGGTCTCACCTGCCAGCTAGAAGCATTGGTGGAAGGAGACAGGAGAGAAAAAAAAAAGGGAACCGAGTCTGCTAACGCCGGGGGACTGGCTTTGGTGCGAGCCGAAAACAGCTGAACTTTACGACAACCCGATCCGTCCCTGGGAGCCCAACAGAAGCTCTAAGTTACCACTTTAAAAATAGCCAGCAGTATTTTTGATCCCTAAAGCAGGATTCCAGGGGGGGAGGCTGGAGACTCCAGAGGGCCGAGGACGTTCTGGTTTACACCCGCTTTCTTGTCTGAAAACTTAGAGACCCCCCAGGTGATGCTGGTGAGACCTCGTCAGGATCTGACAGCCCTGCTCACGCCTGACTGCGCTGGACCTCTCCTTGCTCTCTTCTTAGGGCGATGGATTTGGGGCTCCCCACGCCCCGGAGCTGAGTTTCTGCAGCCGAGAAGATGATCGGTCTTTAAACCAACTCAGTGGATCTACGAAAAGCAGCCAAGCCGGGAAGGGCTTGGGCAGAATCCGGGTTTCAACAACTCCCAGCACTGGTTTTGGCACAGGAAGGATCAAGATATATGTTGCCACAATGGGTCTCGTGCCCAGAGGCCTGTGTCTTGTCCTGCTTCTTGGAGGGTCCACCTGGGTGGACGTGGAGGGCAGCTCCGGGCACCTCCTAGAGTGCACAAACCCCCTTGAAGAAGCTGGGGTGCTTTCTCTTCTACATCAGAAGCTGCAGGGGCTTCAGGGGATGGCTTCAGTGGTTCAGGGAAGCCGCGGACTCCCCATCCCACCTCTGCGACGGGAAGTTCTGGAGAACATCAGGACACCTCTGCATCTCACTGCCTCCTCCTCCTTCCTTCAATCCTCCCAGCCTAGGGGCCCATCTGGAGTGGAAAAGAGGGTGTTAGGAGTGTAGACATGAGAGACCCAGACTCCTCTTTGCATTTCCACTCCAGATCTGGGGAGAGCTGAAATCCTCTGGGCTGCATCCCTGGGGACAGCAGACGCAGGAAGCTGTTAATCCAGCTGTCCCATTGCCCCCCACCCGTAACCCACTCCTACGTGAGGGTGGGGGGCAGATTTTCACAGAAAAGCTCCCGAAAGGCCAGAGTACAGATAAATCAACAGACAGAAGCACCTGCTCCGGGGTGAGCAACTGTCCCTGTGCTTGGGCTGGGTTGTTCCACGTGTTTAAAACATAACCCAGGGTGGGAGGCAGGGGCGGGGGGAAATGCAAGTCAAGGGAGTGGATCTGGCTAAATAAAGCCTGAAGCAGTTGTAGGGGAGCCAAACAGCCTGGGCTGTCACGCACCCCCCCGGTGGGAGAGCTGGGAGCTGCCATGCAGCTGGAAAGCAGGGTTGCACCCTGCGACTGCACTGAGTTACACCACGAGGGGACTGGCCCCCAAGCTAAAGCGGGGTCTTGGCAGGCCTGGAAATCATCCAGCCCCTCTGTTCGGAGCAGCCTGACCCCCGGGGCTGGGAATGCCTGGTGCTCTGGGGCCTGTCCAGAGGGCACCATCGCACTCATGCAAAGGGGGCATAAAATGCCCCCCTTCCTGTGGCTTTTTACAACATGCCAAGCACACAAAAGGGCCATGCCCTGCACTGGGCCCAGCTGTTGGGAATGGTTGGAAAGCCACACCCCTGGACTCCTGTTGCAGGGGGGACAATTTGGGGGCTCTTCACACTCCCTGGCTCAGCCACAGCTGGATCCATCTCCCTTCCCACGCTGAGGCCTTCGCTGGGAATTTTCCTCCCTGCTTTCTCCCCCCCATCCTGGCAGGCAGCGCGGCTGGAAATAGGGAAGGCTCCATCCCTCCACAGGCTGGACTATCCCCAGCCACAGGTTCCTCAGGTGGACGTGGGGCAACCTGCCCCTCAATGGGACCTGGGTGCATGGGGGACTCGCTGGGACCTTCCACCTGGAGAAGCCAGGAGTCTGCCACTTGGGTTGGGGAAGCCAGTAGCCACGTGCCATGCGTGCGCACCCCCACGAGGTGGCAGCAGCACTCAAAAAGTGGAGCCACGAGCTTGGCAAGACCCCCCAGCACCCGGACCCCTAGGTCAGACACGGTCCCAGGGGGCTCTGCTTGGACCAGCTGCACCTCAGCAGGCAGGGGATGGGATGCCTGGTGTCTCCACGTTGTGAGAAGAAGTTGTGGGGAGAGGCAAAGGGCCCTGGTGCCCCCCAAAGCATCTCCTGCACATAAGATTCAGGCCCAAATCCTGCAGGAACCCCCGGCTACCGGGTGGCTGTGCCTAAAAGCCAAACCTCTGGGCCAGGCTGGAGGCAGCTACTTTACCGGAGGCTGACTATGCTCCAGGAGGCTGTTCTCCCTTTGTCCAGCACAGAGCTCTGCATTTCTGCCTCATCCTGCCTCAGTTTCCCCTCCCTGACTTAGTCTGTCTTTGCCCTTCCAAGCACCCACAGGGGTGCCCCTTCTCATATACAGCACCTGGCACCATGGGGTCTGGTCTGAGCAAGCTAGCCCCAGATTCTCCCACTCTAAAGAAAGCAACCAAGGAAAATACACCCAGTCAACAGCAAAGCAACCCCATCCCCATCCCGTCCCTGATGCAGAAGTTTGCCGGGGCCACCTGGCTTTCCCCAGAACCCACAGCCCCCCTTCCCTCCCCACCAGCCGCTCTTTCATCCAGAAGCAGGAGCATCGGAGAGGGGTTTCAAGTCGTGATTGATTGGCAGGTCTTATTCCCAGACCTTTCGCACAGAAAAGCTGTCTTCAGCTCCGACCCTCCCCATTTGTCCTCTGTGAATTAAGACAAAACCATTGGGCTGCAATTAGAGATAAGGAACTGTTGATAATTACCCAGAGAAAAAGGGAAAAAGGATTGGAACTTGGGGACCGCCGGGGGATGAGGGGGCGGGAGTGGCCGGCATGCTGGAGACACGGCAATTAGCATGAAAATGCGCGGAGGATCCATTAATATCAGAATGGCGAAGCCCGCGATGTCATCGCCCATTATGCAATAGGGTTGCTTGTGAGGTCTCGGTTTCGGCAGCAGGTTACGATGATGGATCGTGGGCACATGTGCAGAGCCGTGATGCTGAGGGGTGATGGGGCCGTGCCTGACCTTGCAGGGGCACTGGAAGACAGGGCATTTGCTTTCAGCTCAGGGTCCTGTGCTCTGATGGTGATGGCGGCTGGGTGCCCATAAGCACGCTGGCGCATTGCAGCACAGCAGATGGATTCACCAAGCACTTGGCTCATAGTAGCTACGGGGCTGAGCCCATGCAAGTGGTGTCACTCCAGATTTCTGCTGGTATAACCGGGATGCATTGACACCCAAGATAAGAACGTGCTTACCTTGGGTTACAAAAGCAATAATGACAGGGTAACTTGATCTTCAGCCCAGGCTGGCAGGTCAAGTTCAAGTCAGTAGAGGCACAACAGGGCTTGAACCTGAGCTGTTAAACAGAGCTAAAACCCAAGATGCCCTGTCTTCATGGCTATTTGAACTGGAGTTAGTTGACTGGTTCACTAACCCAAGTCAAGAACACACCTGCATGTGGTATAGATGTGCCCTGACATCAACATTATCACCAGTTGACATGATATTTTGCAAGGATAGCTGGAAGGATTTTCTCAAGGCCTCATTTCATAAATCAGGAGATTTGGGGATTTTTAAAGCCACTCTCAGGAGCTTGGACTGTTGGATCTTGAGAACAGCAGCTCTGAATATAACACACAGTGCCTTGCTATACCACAGCATGCATCCCTGTTGTCCTAAAAATGATAAAGATACATACACAGAGGGGAGCAGGGAAGACTGGAAGTCATAAGAAATTCCGACATCTTCCCCTTTCAGTCAAATCTAACCACATGTAGGGGACACGAGAGTCTCCATGTCTCCGCTGCTGGGTGGTTTAGACTATGTAGAGGTCTGGCTTTAGGAGTTTATGGGGAAATTAGGTTTCTCATCTTCACCTGGTTCACTCCACAGTGCAAGACACATTATATCACAATACATATGTAATATATATATATATATATTTTATACACACAAATACACACATACACACACACATACTGTGAAATAATATACACATACATACTGTGATATAATATACACATCAAATATAGCTATTGTATGCAAATATTTGAGTGTATCTGGGCTTTTTGTCATGGGATGTGCATACAAAGCGGGGTACACGTGTATAAAAGCAGTGTCTGTGTGTACATATGTGTCTGTCGTGTGTGTGAAGATAACATTTAAAGTGTCCAGAGATAAGCATAAGTGCATATATGTATTTTTTCGTGCATCTAGAAATACATGAACTGTGTGGTACATATGTATTCTGTGTGTATACAATAGAGGGGGTGCGTATACGTAACAAATAATTGTACACCTATGTTGTGTGCATATAGGCAGGTACACAGATGCATGTCTGTGCATGGTATCTAGGGTGCATATACATGTGTACAACGTGAGTGCAGGATGCATGTGTATGCCCACCGCATGTCAAGGGGAATGTGGGCTTGTGTGTACATTAAGTGTGTGCAGATAGACAGATGTGCATGTGTGTGCAGAGGTACAGGCCTCAATCTGACAAGCACCTGCTTCACTTCATGGTTGCAGATCAGTCCCTTTAATGTGGTTGCTCCCATGTTTCAAGTTCAGCAAGTGCAAAGTGCCTATAGGATCAGGGCCGCAGACATCTCCATCTCCATAGAGACACTTCTCCAGCTGGAAGCTTCTCTGCTGCCAGCATTTAAAAGCATAATTCATCCACCAAGTCTTTTTGGGGAGACGGATATTTGTTCCAAACACACGTGCAAAAGAGCTGTTGTTCTGAGATCCCTATGGGAAATCAGCTCATCACCGCAGGCTTCCTATTAACCGAGCAAGACCTCTCCCCGGCTATGTTTAGAACAGATTCCTCTATTAGGATCCAAGAACAAATATTTCGCACGTGAATCCATTTCACTGGAATGACCAGTTGCACCAAAATCATCCCAGGCATTTCAAGCTCCTTTCCCTCCCTCCAGCATTTCCCCATGTCAGAGTTCGCAAGGGGCACCTAGGAGTAAATATGAACCCGGCCTGGCCACAGGGACGGCTGCAAAAGCGCGTGAATTCAGTGAGCTTAGAAAGGGCTTTCTTTCTTTTTTTTTTCCTACAATGCCATTCAAGGTCTGCAAAGGCAGACTGTCCCCTTCATCCAGTCCATCTCTGGAGCCCTGCTATGCAAATTGGTCATTCCTTTTGCAAGCCACACTAAGACCTCGATGAGCAGGATCTGTTGGGGTAAGACACTTGCTTTGCAGTTCCCGGGTATTTTAAGAATGAGAATTGATGAATTTATATTAAGTCGCCAGCAGCTCCCAGTTGGACCCTGGCATGGTTTGGATTTTATCTTCCTGGTGTTGGGGTTCGTTTGGTAGTCAAAAATGTGTCGGGGGGGGGAGGGCTGTTTTTCTGCTTCTGAATATTTCCAGCTGGAACAGAGTCCCTTCCCAGCTACTCTTTAAGCTAGGAATTTATTCTGAACCTGCCTTGCTTGATCCTTAGAGAAATGGAGCTTTATATCTTCTCCAAAACTGGGCTATCGCTCACAGATGAAACTGCCTTTTGAAGAGAAGGGGATGGGATACAGGGGTATCACTGCCGCAAAAAATACGCCATCCCCGGCGCTAGGGAACAGTGATGCTCACGAGCTCATATTCATACGCGCCTTATGATAAACACAGTGGTGCAAATTACATGCTCGGCTTTTGAAAGACACATTTATCAGTTAACAAATCACTGTCTCACAACAGACCGAGTGCAACAATGGGAAGAGGCTGTATCATTCCCGCATTGCCACGGTTGCTTTGTGCTGTAGCAAGTTGCTGGCTGCCTCGCGAAACTTTTAACTGAATCGCTCGGAGGGGATTTTTCAGCTGTGCTTTTTCTCTGGCTACTCTTTTTCTTGGGCTAAAAACCTACGCAAACAACAGATTTATTTATTTTTTTTAATGCTGGTTTCT